CGAGTTAGTACCTGTAATGGGCTGGGACCTGTTCTGGGACTATAGAGCTCTATAATGTTAGCATACCTAGTTAAGCCTTCCCCTACTCCTACGGTGTATAGTTTATATATATACCCCTTTCGTTATATAGTAGCTAACCTCTTACCGCCATACTAACTGATTTTTGCTTTTGGGGTATAATACTAGTAACCTCTTAGCGCCCTGTAAACCGCTCTTTATACAACTGCCAGCCTAAGCGCTCTGATTAGCTGTTTTATGTCATGGGTTGCTAGCAACTTTTTTTTAGTACCATATAAAACTGTTTTCTGTTAATAGAGTAACCTATAGCTTTTTGTTTTCTGCTTGTCTTTATCTGATCGCCCTTGCTTTATATATAAGGCTATAAATTTATACTCCGCTGCGCTGTAAGATGCTAACCGCGCTGTGTACTAAAATAATAATATGTATGCGTGGGAGGAGTTGATAAGATCTTGCTCCCCTGCCTAGGTAAGGAGAAAGGTTTAGGGTTTAATAACTCTGCGTGGACTTGCTCTGCTAGGGAGGAAGTATAACTGCAAATCGGTAATTAACAGGGGTTTATTTAATTAAAGGAACCCTTATTTTGTGATGAGAGTAAAACTTTTAAAATTTGATGTATGTAAAGCCCCGCTCGGTTGCTTGTCGGTACTATTGGTTGCTAGCCTCTGGAATGGCTCCCTCCTACCTAGATGTAGGCTTGTATAGTTCAGCTCTCTGTAGCCGCCTTATTCAGCCAGGGTATTTCTCGTCTAATACTATGAAGTATTTTTATCGGATACGATGGAAGGGTAACGGAGGTGATGAGAAATACTACTTGATGAGATGGGCTAATATGTTGCTATATTGGCTTATATGACCGTTAGGGGATGTATATTATCAGATGAGTTTTTTTCACAGTCAACAGACTACCTCAGCCTGAGCCTGCCCGATCTCCTATCCTTTTATCTCGTATTGCTCAGCTGTAATACCCCGCAGCCATAACTACTGGTAGATACTATCAACCTCTCATTATTTTCGTTTTCTGGTTCCTGGTATAGTTGGGTCAGGTAGGTTGCTGGCAACCTCAGCTTTTCTGATTTCTGTAGGTTGCTGGCAGCTTTTCTGATTCATGTAGGTTGCTGGCAACCTTAGCTTTCCTGATTGCTGATTTCTGTAGGTTGCTGGCAACCTTAGCTTTCCTGATTGCTGATTTCTGTAGGTTGCTGGCAACCTTGGCTTTCCTGATTGCTGATTTCTGCAGGTTGCTGGCAACCTCAGCTTTCCTGGTTCCTGTAGGTCGCTGGCGAGCTCGGCTTTCATGGTTTCTGGTCTCTACAGGGTCGCTGGCGACCATTAGCTTTCCTGGTCTCTGGTCTCTGATTTCTGGAGGGTCGCTGGCGACCTCAGCTTTCCTGGTTAGGTTGCCAGCAACCTCTGGCTTTCCCGCTTATCGTGCACCGTGGTGGCTTTCCATCCCGCCATACCCATATAAAATATGCAGACAGTGAGGGGTATGTTCAGGATTGTGGAGGAGCCTGTACAAGTTTCATCGTCAAAATAGAAGCAAAAACAGCTGTGTGGGTACTTGCAGTACATTGCACCACAGCTCAACACGCAAGCAATGACCTAGAAGGTTCTGTGGGGCTATACCTGAATCCGCCATCGCATGCCCAGATTCTGTGCCAGTCCCGAAAGATGGATGAACATACGATATACCAGCTCTTCCAATGGGACAGCCATTCCAATAGGCCAGCCCGCACCATAGGCCAACACATAATGGGACAGCCCTTCCAATGGGACAGCGCATTATGGGACAGCCTTTCCACTGGGATAGCACATTATGTACCAGCCTTTCAATGGGATAGCCCATCCTACTGTAATACGCCTGTTCCTCGATTGTGCTTTTCCTTCTATCCTATTGCTCCCTGCGGTTTCCCGTGATTTACTAGTATAGCCAGCAAACTAGCTTGAAGGCTATTCCTCAAGTGTTCAACGTCCTATCTACGGCGGCTGAAGTGACGTCCGCTTTTATGAGACGGGGTGTTTGGTGTTTAATATAAGTAGGTTAGGTAAAGTAATTAGGTGAGATTCTTGCAATCTGGTTTCAGTATTATGTGTCGAGTCGGCCTGTGGCCATTGCAAATCGTAAAGTTGCATGGACAGCCTGCATATTTGGCGTCTACTTTGCGTCATCTGATGGTGATTTTCCTCCTAGGTAGAACGAGAGGTTTCCTCTATGCACCTCTCGCTGTGGCAGACGGTGGCACCCTCGGCTACCGGAAATCGGCTAAACCTAAACCCGAAGCACCCGGTTTGATCTAAGTACCTAGGTACCGACCTTAGCCCCCCATATTGCTCTGCTTCCGCGCTGCAGCACTACCCTACACCCTCTTGGCTCAGTGTCTCTGAACATAAATTACCAGAACTTAATTAACTCATGTTACTCCGTACACCTCTATTATTTCCCTTTTCATTTTTCCCTTTTCCCCCCCCCATTTTCCCTTTTCACAACCTCCGAATGCGTGGACAGCCCCACAGCCCACGAATTCGTGGACAACTGAAACGTTCCTTGATCAAACGTTCCTTGGTCAGCATGGGTCGATAGGACAATAAGCATGGGAAAGAGATGAAAAATGAAAAGGGAAAATGGAAAACGAATAGCAAAGGGGTGGATAATACCAGCGAGCCACCATCAGCTGGCATGGAGCGCTGGCATCTTTTCTCATCCGACGCCAGCTGGCCGCAATGAGTCTGATTGCAGGAGTGAGAGAAGCGTTCAGATATTTAGATATTTAATTTTGAATAAGGAAACAGTCGGCTTTGTAGTATTTCCAGTCAATATGACGACCAACACTAGAGCATTTAACCTGTGAAGGAGAGGAATGCATATATAACGACTCAAATATCATAAATTCTCCTTACAATATAATGTGATATAACGGTTTAATCTGTCTGAAATTCCTTCCTTTCGACCATCTGATTTATTCATACTTTTAACTCTACTAAAGCATCCGGTGATCAGCAACCGATTAACATCAAACGAGACGGCCAGTTAGAGCTGAATTCAGCACGCTTTGATCCAAGTACTTTCAGCGGCACGTACAGTCAGCCCGATCATCGTGGTATAATATGAGATGGGTTAGACCTAACTAATAGTCAGGCAATCGCGCAACTTTAAGTCAGCTAGGTGCTACGTGAATATAAATTTATGATCTTCCTAATGACTTCAGAAATCTCATTTTTCAAGTGTGTGCATCCCGGATTGCCCACATGAAATCAGCGACAATCGAAAGCTAGGCCTTGACGCGAGCCTTCAGCCTTTGAGATTGCACATTATCCGTCACTGATTTCATTCTACTATGTGCTACTAGAGTGACACCGGCGAATTCCTCTGCTCAGCCGCCCCCCGCCCTGAATTTGGCTCATAATGACATCTTGAATTGATACATAAAATATACTAGTGAGAGTGGTTCGGTTTCACTCGTTCCCGCCGATAACCTGGAAGTTAAATCAGATTCTAGCGTTGTTAGAGAACAGAAAGACTGGAAGCGTACTGTAACAGAGACCATAGCCCGTGTTGACTGTTCTTTATCGAGGATACGGGCAGTAGCCCTTTGAAACTTCCTTGCCATTGCAGTAGGTTCCCCGTCGCCTGCAGCAGGAATTGCAAGTACTATATCCTTGAGCTGTACATATCTCCCGGCAGCAATACTCGCAATTGGGATACGCCAAACCGTCGTGGTTGTGGCACCATTGGTTGGTGGCTGCGACACTGACAGGTGCTAAAAGGATGATAATCGATGTTAAAAGAGAAGAAGCCCTCATGATGATATATAAAGTACGGATAGGGAGGGTAAGATTATTCTTGAAAGCTCAGCAGATTCTGGGTTTTGTTCACAGAGAAAATTGTCCACGTCGAATGGTCAAGTAGGTAACTAAGCTCCTTTACGCTCTTCATTCACGCATTGTGTAACCCCCATAATACCATCCGTCAATACGCCATATTTGACCGAGCAAATCCTAGATTACATTACTTAAAGCGGAAATGTTTCGGGTTATCAACTGCTTTCTGAACGCCTATTACACGCTGGCCTCCCAATAGGAATGGCAGAACTCGACCTTCCGGCTGTGTCTCGGAAGGCGAGCTGGTGATTTCTCCGCGTCCCTCTGGATAATGTCTTGGGAATTACGGTGACAGCTTGTTGAAGCGCCGGTTGAGAACGTCTGTTCCCACCTGATAACCCCTTCATGATATGTACTTAACTTAGGCTACCTATATTGTTAGTAGTATAGTGTTTCTGGTCGGAATTCGTGCTGACTGATACGGATCCCTTTTAAGGAGAGACCTAATATGCGTCCAGCTATCTGATGTAAAATTTCTTGGTCCGGTGCCGGTCTAGCCTACCTAGGGGTTAAGGCATGCTATATAAATCTTTCAAATTTCTATGAAACACTGGAATTTGATGTTTCTAGTAGAACCAGGGAGGGGCCTTGATCCAAAACATTAGTCCGGACTGGGAGACGCAGCTACGTATGTTCTCTTATGTAATTAGAAACCGTTGAGAGAGCAAATTACTCTCATCTTTTCAACACCGTTATCGTGGAATGAGGGCTAGCATTCTCATAGAACGAAAGGGTATTTTCAGCTTCAAGTAAGCATAACAGGGCAGAAATTATTGCATATCACTGCCTAGTAAGTGTGAACTGGGCGGACTTCTTTCCTCGATTGTAATAGTTCAATTCTTCCTTCTTTTGTTTTTGAGGAATAATGGATGGGCGCCTCATTCCATACCACTCTTATGACAAAATGAATGTTCTCGCCGGTTCTGGATTTGATGGATGCTTTCGAAGACGTATCTTTCGTTTCTAGGTGGGAATCTCCAAGGATTTGTTACATATAAAACTACCAGAGCTGCTTCTCGTACACCCTAGGCTTGTATCTAAACCTTCCATATTATCATCTTTAAACACTCCGGTTATCAAAGATCCCAATACCATCAATCATGTGGACCAAAAAGTTGATTGCTTTTGCTGCTCTAGCCTCTGCGATACCATCAGAGCCTAGGCTCGAGCCAGGTCTTGGCATCGAACGGAAAGATGGTATGTGATGGCACCTCTCGACCAATTCCTACCTAATATTTGATTCTGTAGCACTCACTGTCACTGAGGCGGAGCTCAATCAGATGAAATTTTTCATGGAGCAAAGCGCAGCCTCATATTGTAACTACAAGCAGCCAGTCGATGCACTCATTAGGTGTGATCGAGTGGGAACCATTAGTGGGCCGTGCCCTTCGATCCAGAACGATACCGTTCGCATTCTCTGGACATATATGTAAGTTAGAGTTCCAGTTCTTGAACAGATCCAGATATCTGATTAAATAAAAACAAAAAGTGGCCCGGTTACTCAGGTTGCTGCGTACATCAGTATAAATCATGTGCGTAAGCAAATTGTTTTTACTGCTCGAGGCACCCTAACTGGAACGGAGGGAGATGTGAACTTAAACGTTGATTTCAAGCCTTATCCTGGCGTTGATGGGGCTCAGGTTCACACAGGCTTCTATGATGCTTGGGACGAAATGGCCGCTGCGGGTGCCATTAAAGCAGTTAGCGACGCCGTTGCAGCCAACCCGGGCTACAGCATTGTGGCCACTGGTCACTCTCTAGGCGGAGCTCTTGCATCCATGGCCGCCGCAAGCCTCCGTAATACGGGCTTCTCAGTTGATCTCTACACATACGGTGCCCCTCGCCTTGGTAACGCTGCCTTCAATCACTTCCTGGCCGGGCTACCCGGGGCTGACTATCGTGTGACGAACGTGGATGATCCTGTCCCACGTTTGCCGTTTCTTTGCTGGGGGTATCGATCTCTTTCTCCGGAGTACTGGATCTCTCAGAATTTTACAGGTCCTGATTACCCGCTTGATAATATCAAAGTCTGCCAAGGAGACGCAAACCTTGAGTGCAATGGCGGCACGCGGGGTTTTGGTTGGGAAAACATACTCTCTCATGGCACCTACCTTGGGCATTCTCCCTGTCTCAATATCTTCGATTTTCTCAGTAGCGAAGAAGCGAACAAAAACTGGGTAACGAGGCTTGCAGAGCTCAACAGTGAACAACCGTCCAATGTTTTGGAAGATCTTATCTATTGTGCACTTTTGGTCTAGTTTACCATGATAATGCACATTTCGTCCATCAGAAAGTGCCACGGGGAGATAAATCATAGTATAGGAGAATGAAGCTTCAAACTAAACACAGTTGAGGACTTGTATCAGCTTCCACAAGGTGACTCGGGGTTTTCACCTTTCCTTATTCCTGTATCGCCTCATCAATTTGTTTCACTCAACCTGCCCTTTACCACAACATCTTCCATATTTCTATCTACATACATACCATACATACATACTACAGTATGTCTGCTAAATCTCTCACTTGCGAAAGCCCTCCTTCCGCGCCTGAAGAGGTCACGAGAGAGTAGCTCTCTCAAGTGCTTGATCTTAATCTCAACTACGCCAAGATGACGGATGCATTCCATGGCACCACCAGTAAACTTTTTTTTTACTCTTGCTTATAACAAATCTAAGCCCTCTGTTGGTGTCGCCACCAACAGCTTCCAGATTCACAGGTAAAAGGGATAAATTGAGACTGTTGCTTCTAACTAGTAATTACAGAGGGGATCCGCAGCCCTTATATCCCTGAGAATCCCTCGATCGTATTCTCATGCGAGCAGCCCGGTCTCGGGCTCGTAAGGTCATTCCGATATCCCTCTGGCTAGTAATAACTAGGGATATTCATATCCGGATGACCGAGGTCATCCTCTTCCTTCGAGCCGTGTGTTCAATAGGATCAGAACGCTCTTC